GTGACGGGGCATTTTGGGGTGGAACCCCCTCCTTTTGGCTCCCTCCCACGCCGGTCTGGCAGCCCAGCCAACCACGGATTCCTGACATATTTTTCTCTTCCCTTTGCAGCCAAGAAATTCATATTTCACGGGAGGTGAAGGCAAGTCCCGGCAGTAGCTGAGCAGCGGGGGTGCCAAGGTACGGGCCAGCTGACAGCCCAAGGTCAGATGCTATTTTTGGGAGCCAGACGCTCTCCTCCTTCTCCCTGACAGGCTGGGGGGATGTCCCCGGGCCCCCCCCAAGCTCCAGCTGTGGGGATCCTCGGGGACCTCCCCGGCTGCTGGAGGCAGGGGGTTTAAAGAGGCTTTGGGCTTTGAGAAGGGGCCAGTTCACCAGGCGATGGGATTTTTCACAGCCCCAGCCCCAGCCGTGCCTGGACTGGATCAGTCCACCTGGGTAGGATTTAAAGCCTTTAGGAAGTGGTTAAACACCCCTTTTTGGGGACAGAAAACCAAAGCATGTGCAGAGTCATCCCCGGGTCTCCTGGAGCTGGAAAAAGGCTGCAGAGCTCTGGGGGGGGTTTCCATCAGGGACCCTCACATAGTATCCCAGACTGGTTTCCATTGGAAGGGACCTTAAAGATCATCTAGTTCCCACCCCAATGCCAAGGGCAGGGGCACCTCCCACTGGACCAGGTTGCTCCAAGCCCCATCCAACCTGGCCACCTCTAGGAAGGGGATGTCCACAACATCCCTGGGCAACATGCCCCCTCCCTATCTCCCTTCCACAGCAAAGGGCATGTGATGCCACCCAGCCACAGCTTGATTTTTGTTTTTCCTCCCACCCAGTCCCACCATCCCTGGAGGGATTTAAAAACCGTGTAGATGTGGTGCTGAGGGACATGGTCGAGTGGTGGCCTTGGCAGTGCTGGGTTAGCGATTGGATTTGATGATCTTAAAGGTCTTTTCTACCCAAAACCATTTGGTGATCCAATGATTCATCAGCAGGACAGTCCCAAGTGCCCCCAGCTCTGCTTTCCCCACCTCCATCCCTCTGCTGCTACAGGGACCACTGTGTTTGGTTCTCCTGGTACTCAGCACTGATGCACCATCAAACCCCAACCCTTGCCATGCAAATCCTGCTGCTTTTCAGATACACACAAACGAGCCTTTCCTTCAGGAAAGGAAAAAAATTAAAATGGGGGGGGACACACACTCGTTTAAAGTGGCTGAAAGAGCAGGACTGTGATAATGTAGCAAGCACTGGCCTTGGGTATTTTATCTTGGCAAAGAGCCTTTGCAAATTTAAGCAGCAGCAGCAGCAAACAGGCTGGACGTTGTGGCTGGAAGGGGCATGAGTGGTGCATTGTTTTACAAGCAAAACCCTCCTGTGCCAAAGGGCCTCGTGGGACCTTCGGGCAGCACGCGGGGTCGAGCACCACAGGCTTGGGCCGAGTCAGTCCCGGATCTGTTTCACTTGGTGGGGTGTGAAATGGTTCAGGAATTCAGGCTCAGAAGCTCCAATCAGAGAGGGGACCCTGTGGAGCCTCCCCATCCTGCCTGAGCTGACTTCCCCTCCCTGCAGCATCTTTGCAGGGGAGCGGTGGGGATGCAGCCCTGCCCCTGCTAATGCTAATTTTATGAATGCACATGGGGTGCAGCAGCACCACGGGGTGCTGGGTGCTCACCCCAGCCACTGCAGACATGCAGAGCATCCAAAGTGACCTGCAGAGACAGATGCAGGTCACTCCCTTTTCTTGCAGACATTCTCCCTTTCTGCTCAGCTTGCTGTTGGGCGGGGATGACGAAGGGTGGACCCCAAATTGGGCTGGGGAGCTGCAAGAATTACACCCAGGTGAAGACTAATAAAGCTGAATTTCACACTTATTTACAACCCTTCCCAGCAGTATCTTGCAGTTGCCCTCAGCAGCAGAGAGGAAAGAGGTGTTCCTAGGGAGGGAGGAGAAGAAACCCTTTCTGTTTGCAACAGACTTTAAAAGAGACACTTAAAACTAGGGCGTTAATTTTACTATAACCTGCATCTGGGGCTGGAATCCTGGTGGTACCTTTGAAAAGGCTGGGCTTGACTTGTGCTGAGGTCCTGGATTGTAAATCCAGCTGGTAAATTTGGGGCCCAGTTTTTATGCTTTTGCCCACTTCACAGTGTCTAAAATTGCAAAGGCAATTTGTGGGTGGTGGCAAAGTCCAGGCAGAGGCAGCAGAAGCTCCAGTCCTTGCTCTGGGGGTTTGGGTGGAAGGGCAGTGAAGTCCAAAGGATGTGCTGGGAGGGGGGGGAATCTTGGTGGAGCAAAACCCTCCAGCTGAGGGAGCTGGGACATGGAGACTGGGGATATGGGGACAATGAGGACATGGGGCAGAGAGCCCTCTCCCAGCTGGGCCCGCCAGCCCTTCCCACTAATCCGTAGGTGGAGCTCTTCTGTCATCTTTTTCTGCTTATGTTGCTAAGTAGTGCCCAGAAATAGCTTCTCGGGGAGGAAAAAAAGTGCCTCCCTCAGCAGCTTGTGCCAAAGGTGAAATGCTCTGAGCATCCTTTGAAGTGGTTGAAGCTGAAGGGCTTTGCCCCCGGGGCTGCCTGGGGGGGGGGGGGTTATGCTGCCCCTTCCTCCTCCCCTCTCCCCACCGCAGCGCCAAGAAAAAGCACCGAAATGCCTCGCTGTGCTGGCCCCCTCCATGGCTGATGTCCCCCCCGTCTCTCTTTTTCTCCTTTCTAGGTGTGAAAGGATGCAGCAGAGCCCTGGGGGCATTTGGGACCCCGCACCACCCCGGCCCCGGGCAGCCACTGCCCGGGACGGGAACGGGGTTTTCTAACCTTTCCCCCCCCACCACCACCTCGGTATCATGACTGGAGAGACCCAACATGTCTACACCATCGGCGATACTGAGAGCGGCCCCAAAGACCCCGACAAGGACTTTGGCTGTGAAGGCTGCGGGGAGAAGGACGGGAGGGGGCTGGGCGGGTTGGACCCGTCCCCTTTCCCCGGCCCCAAGGACAAGGAGCTCCACAGCCAGCGGGAAGCGGTGATCCGGCCGCAGCAAGTGGGGAAGATCGACTTCAAGTCCCTCCACTGCAAACCCAAGTTCGGCAACGACGGCAGCTGGGGGCAGGGGCAG